GCACCCACTAGCACCCACCAGCACCCACTAGCACCCACCAGCACCCACTAGCACCCACCAGCACCCACTAGCACCCACTAGCACCCACCAGCACCCACTAGCACCCACCAGCACCCACTAGCACCCACCAGCACCCACTAGCACCCACCAGCACCCACTAGCACCCACTAGCACCCACCAGCACCCACTAGCACCCAGCACCCACTCCAGCACCCACTAGCACCCACCAGCACCCACTAGCACCCACTAGCACCCACTAGCACCCACTAGCACCCACCAGCACCCACTAGCACCCACTAGCACCCACCAGCACCCACTAGCACCCACCAGCACCCACTAGCACCCACCAGCACCCACTAGCACCCACCAGCACCCACTAGCACCCACTAGCACCCACCAGCACCCACTAGCACCCACCAGCACCCACTAGCACCCACCAGCACCCACTAGCACCCACCAGCACCCACTAGCACCCACCAGCACCCACTAGCACCCACTAGCACCCACCAGCACCCACTAGCACCCACCAGCACCCACTAGCACCCACCAGCACCCACTAGCACCCACCAGCACCCACTAGCACCCACTAGCACCCACTAGCACCCACTAGCACCCACCAGCACCCACTAGCACCCACTAGCACCCACTAGCACCCACCAGCACCCACTAGCACCCACTAGCACCCACTAGCACCCACTAGCACCCACTAGCACCCACTAGCACCCACGAGCATCAACTAGCACCCACCCACTACCACACACTAGCACCCACTAGCGCCCACTAGCACCCACTAGCGCCCACTAGCACCCACTGGTACACCTTGACACCCCCCCTCTGTCGAATAGCCTAGCCCCACCCCACCCCTAGCCTCACCTTGTGCACTGCGAGATCCTTGGTCCTCTCAGCTCCCACGAACACGCAATAGCACTCCCTAGCACCCACTGAAACCCACTGAAACCCACTGAAACCCACTGAAACCCACTAGCACATCCTGGCAACCCCCCCATTGCTGACTGCCACCCCTCGCCTCACCTTAAGCACTGCGAGATCCTTGGTCCTGTCAGCTCCCACCAACACGCCCTCTAGGTTGCGCTGAAAGCTAGTGGCATGAGGGGAGAGAGGAGGGAAGGGAGGAGGGGAGAGAGGAGGGGAGAGAGGAGGGAAGAGAGGAGGGGGAAGAGGAGGGGAGCGAGGAGGGGAGAGAGGAGGGAGAGAGGAGGGGAGACAGGAGGGGAGAGAGGAGGGGAGAGAGGAGGCGAGAGAGGAGGGGAGACAGGAGGGGAGAGAGGAGGGGAGAGAGGAGGGGAGAGAGGAGGGGAGAGAGGAGGGGAGAGAGGAGGGGAGAGAGGAGGGGAGAGAGGAGGGGAGAGAGGAGGGGAGAGAGAAGGGGAGAGAGGGACGAGGGGCAGGGGAAAGCGAGAGAGATGAAGAGGAACAAATGAGGGGGAGGAAGCTGGAGGAGGAGATGGCCACTCTGCACAGATTCAAACCGCACTATGCCGCTCTGACCCTACCCGTCTGCCTCCAGCAGAGTGACTCTGGCCACAGTCCTCCCAGCTGGCGGGGTATGCGGCAGAGCACTCCCAACGGCGTGGTAGTTGGTAACGGTGTAACCAGCAGTGATTCACACCACACCCCCTCACGTATAGCTGGCTACACCACTCTAAACCGCTCTAGATACTCTCTGCACGGCACTAGACACAGGTGTCAGTCCCAAGAGGGGTGACTCGAGCCACGGTCCTTCCAGCAGGAGGGTTCTGGAAAAGTGCATTCCCAACGACGTGGTAGTTGGTAACAATGTAACCATCGCTGTTCCACACCGGACTACCCAGTCACTACACTGCTCTGCACTCTGCACTGCATTGCACTGCAAGAGATAACTATTTCTGAGGCGCATCAAAAATAGATTCCATGCTGGACCACCCAGTCACTACACTGCTCTGCACTCCTCTGCACCGCACTGCACCACAACAGATCCCACCAATGAATGAACCTACCCATCTGTACCCAGCAGAGTGAATCTGGCGATGGTGCGGCCGGGAGGAGGGTTCTTGAGAGAGCACTCCCAAGTTCCCAACCACGAGGTAGTTGGTAACAACAAGACAAGACAATCCCTTCACCGCATTAAACCGCTCTAGAGCTTCCTAAACTTACCCCCTGTTCCACACCACCACTCTCAACCTACCCGTCTGTGCCTAGCAGAGTGACTCTGGCGATGGTGCGGCCGGGAGGAGGGTTCTGGGAAAGTGCGCTCCCGACCACATGGTAGTTGGTAACAATGTAACCGTCGCTGTTCCACACCACCCCCGACCCGTTGCCCTCGGGGACCTCCACCTGCCCTGTGGTGCTCATGCTGGGCCGCAGAGTCACGTCGAATATGTTGACAACAGAGTAGGTGGTTCTCTCAAACAGTGCGACAGTTGCTTCCTGTGAGTAAGGGAGGGTAGGGAGCGGAGGGGGAAGCAAGTTGGAAAAGGCACCTCTCCATCTGGCCATGGCGCTCTCGCTGGGTCGCAGAGACACGTCGAATATATTCACAACAGAGTAGGTCGTTCTCCCAAACAATGCGACAGTTGCTTCCTGTGAGGTTTGGGAGCCGACAGGGATGCAGGAGGGGTAAGGGAGGGGTGAGGGAGGGGTAAGGGAGGGGTGAGGGAGGGGTAAGGGAGGGGTGAGGGAGGGGTGAGGGAGGGGTAAGGGAATGCTCGATCTTCCATCATCCGACCGGATGCCCTCAGGGACGACCTGTCCCGTTGCCCTCAGGGACGTCCACCTGGCGGTGTGCGTGCTGGGCCGCACAGACATGCCGAACTTATTCACGGCTGAATAAGTCGTTCTTTCACACAGCGCGATGGTTGCTTCCTCGGAGGTTGGGGAGTCGACAGGGAAGCAGGAGGGGGGGGGAGCGGGGATGGGTACAGATCCGACCTGTCCCGTTGCCCTCAGGGACCTCCACCTGGCTTGTGGCGTTCATGCTTGGCCGCAGCGCCTGGTCGACTATGTTGGCAACAGAGTAGGTGGTTCTCTCAAACAGCGCGACAGAATACCACAGAGGTCCTCACAGTCCGTCATGCTAGCGCCAGGTCGAATATGTTGACAACACAAGATGTGGTTCGTTCAAACAGAAGACGTGGTTCGCTCAAACATTGCCACTGCTGCTTCCTGGGAGGTTAGGTTAGGGAGTGGGCGGGGAAATAGCAGGGCGGGGTAGGGCGAAGCTAAATCATCAAGGCTCACTCCTATTCTCACTCTTACTCTCACTCTTACTCTCACTCCTCTCACTCCTACTCTCACTCCTACTCTCATTCCTACTCTCACTCCTACCCCCCTCACCTCGGCAGCAGGCAGCTTGCCAGCTGGTGTGACGTCACGGGTGACGTCAGCAATGGTGACTGAAGGATCCCCCAGAGCAGGGACTGGAAGAAATGGGGGCGGAAGGGGGGGGGGGGGGGGAAGAGGGAAAATAAGGGGAGGAAAGGGGAAAGGGGGGGAGCGGAGAGAGGGAATGGGGGAACGATAGGGGATAAAGACATATCATTACAGCCTCCTATCGCACGGGAGATGACGGGGGAATGGCGGAGGGATACGTGAGAAATGGTGGTGACTGAAGGTTGGCCAAGGGCACGTGAGGGAGGAGTCTAATTGTGAGGCACCTAAGAAATGGAGGGATATGTGAGCAAAAGTGACTGAAGGTTGGCCATGGGCAGGTTCTAAAGGGCGGCTGGGGGTTGGATGGAGAAGATGTGTGACAAACGAACGAAGGTAGTGAGTGGAGCGAGAGGGAAAGGGACAAAGGAACGCAAAGGGAGGACTGGAGAAGGGGGGGAGGGGGCGGCAGCAGGGGAGGGAAGGGGGGGGTATGCTCACCTGCCAGTGCGGGGGGAGTGAGGAGCGCGATGGAGAGGGGGAGAGCGGACGAGAGGAGCGCGCGCCTGGTGATGGGGGAGGCAGGGAATGGGGGAGGGGGGAATGGGGGGGGAGGAAATGGGGGAGGGGGGGAATGGGGGAGGGGGGGAATGGGGGAGGGGATGGCGTGAGAAGGAGGGGGAGAGCGTGACAACGAGGGGGGCAACGAGGCGGAGAAGGGGCAGTGGTGGAAGGAGAGGGAAGAAGGAAGAAGGAAGAAGGAAGAGGGCAAAAGCGGGACGAAAGAATAAGCGCTTCGGAAAATGCATGAGTGTGCCCGAATCCTCGCGCTTCTCCCCCCTCCCGCAACAACGGCCGCCAGTGTCCCCCATTCGCCCCCAGGTCGCCCACCTCGTCACGCCCGCCCCTTGCTCCGCGAATTCCCCGCGCTCCCCGCACGACTCATTCTCCGCGCGGCGGGAATCCGCCTTCACTCCGCGGACCAGTGGCGGATTGCGCACGTGTCGTTCCGCCCCGCCCGCGGGTCTGCGCAGCAGCAGGCGCGCGTCTGGGCGCAGCCACGGCGCAGGAAGCGCGGCGCATGGCGGAAGGCGGAGCGCCTCCATGGGCGGAAAAGACGAAGCGCAAGGGGGCGGAAGGAGAGGCGGAGAGAAATGCAGCGCAAATTTAGTGTGGGGGAAAGTGGCGGAGGTGTACAGCTGGTGGTGAGGGGAGTCCTTCGCCTGGGCGCATTTCCCACTCTCTCGTTTGTGACCAGGTGAGAAGTCTGGGTTCGCCAGACTTACGATAAGCTGGGATGAGTGCGTGTCCCGCAGATACGTCTCATTGCGGTTGGATGAGAGGACTTTGCTTTTCAAAGGTTCGACGACGTTCTAAAACGGTTGGATACGGTTTAGGCAAAAGACGTCCGCTTGGGACACGCCCCGATATTCGCTGGCTCTTGCAAAAGTTTCACCCGCAAATTCTGGGTGACACCTTAGGAGCTGCGTACTTTATTGTTACACTTTGTAACCTGTTTCGTAACCTGACATGGAGTAGTAACGAGGTTCAGTACACACGTCCTTGTGTCTGGAGACGGCCGCCCGAAACACTCGCTTGAGCACCGGCGTTTTGAATTACACGACGTATATCGTCGATTACGATAACACAATAATGCAGCGTTTTACATAAATATACTCTAACATGATGCTGAAGGCCCTTCCATTACTCCCCCTAAGCAAAACTGAGCAAAATCCCTTTATGTTTATAACCCAGTTTACAGGCTACTGAGACGTTGGCATGTTATAAACCTCCTCCCAAAGATTTGAGAAGAGTGTTGTAGATAAATACCGCTCACCAAAGCTAGGAATAATGGCCTGCAACACAACAATTTGGTGCATTTTTTTAGTGCGCTCAAAGATCTTCGTGAAATGCGATGTGAATTGAGGACTGGCAAGCTGTGGCAGGAATGTGTGTGAGGGGAGGGGGGAGAGGGGGGGGAGGGGGGGGGGGTGGGGGGTGCGGGGGGAGTGGAAGGGGGGGGGGGGGGGGGGGTTTGGTTGGGCTTATGGGGAGATCAGGGGGGTGAAGACGTACCACCACCATCTTTCCCGCATATTCGGGCCGCTTTGCAACTTGGATTGCAGCAACCACAGCCGCGCCCGAGGATATGCCAACCTGAAGGGGAAACAGAAGCGAGAGGCGGGAGGCTAAATACCCACTTATTGCTATCAAACTAGCGAAAGAGTTACTAAAATCTGGTGTTGGCACAGCAGAATGGGATGAACAAGGGTGAGGTGCAGCAGCAGGTGGTTATGAGCAGATAATGGCTTCAAGCAACCCACCAGCATGCCTTCCTTGATCGCCAGCTGGCGTGCCATTTGAATCGAGTCATCGCTGCTGACCTGGCAGCGATGGGGAGGAAAAGAGAGGGAAAATTATTTCACGAATGACGACAGCACTCACCACAATTACCTCAGCACTCACCACGATGATGTCAGCACTCACCACGATGACCTAAGCACTCACCACGATGACCTCAGCACTCACCGCCATACCGTGATGATGTCAGCACTCACCGTGATGACATCAGCATTCACCGCCATGATGTCGGCACTCACCGCGATGACCTCATCCAGCATGGCTTCATCCAGAATGCTTGGGATGAAGCCCGCCCCGATGCCCTGGATCATGTGCGGGCCTGCATGGCATGGCATGGCATGGCATGGCATGGGGTGATGGGGTGATGGGGTGATGGCAGCATGATAGGATGGGGCAGAGGGGAGATGCGGGGACCAGAATGCAAGACACGAACTCTGCTCCGACGCCGCTGGGTCACGTGCCCTGGGTCACGTGCGTGCAGCCCAGCACAGCGTGACGTGGCATGGTGGCGTGGTGTGGTACGGTGAGGCATGGTGTGGCAAATGGTCATGAAAAAACTGGCCTCGGATCCATTGAGGGGTCAGCAATCAATGGGGCCATGAGTACTATGAGTGGCGTGATGCACTATGCGTGGCGTGATGTAGTATGAGTGGCGTGATGTACTATGAGTGGCGTGATGTACTATGAGTGGCGTGATGTACTATGAGTGGCGTGATGTACTATGAGTGGCGTGACGTATTATGATTGGGGTGATGCACAATTAGTGGGCCCACTATGAGATGTTGGGAGAGGTGACAGTAACGAGAGGAAAATCCCTCACCTGTAGATGCACTATAAAACTATCAATATTGATCCACAATGTATACATCCGCCAGAATAGCCATGCTGGCCAATTACAATTGCGCCCTCCACCCATCCATTCACACCGCCCCTCTGTTGTTCTCACCTGGGTATCCACCTGACAGGACATTTGACTCTTCAGGTTCCACTGCAATCATCTGCCATCCATTCGACACAGGGATGAGGAATGACCAGAACCAACTCACTGTGGATGGCTGCGGTGCGTAGTGGTGTGATTGTATGGTGGTGTGATTTTATGGTGGTGTGATTGCATGGCGGCAAGCTAGCACGAAATTTACGTCCTTTCCTAACATTATCTTTCATATCTCCCCTACACAGCTACCTGCCTTTCTTGACCTTTACTCCACATCCCACCTTAACAATCAGCCTCTTCCGCTTGAGGCGCTAACAATCACCTGGAGAACTCGTAGCCACAAGCGTTAAGCGATAGGCCATAAGCGTTAAGCGATAGGCCATAAGCGTTAAGCGATAGGCCATAAGCGTTTGGATGATCAGCAGCGAAGAGCAAAATACGTTTTAAGTAACCAGTCAATAATTATTCTAACAAAGTCTTTCATCTTCGCTGCTGCGCATCCTAACGCTTATGGCCTATCGCTTAACGCTTATGGCTATCTCCCCAACACAGCTACCTACCTTTTTTTACCTTGACTTCACATGCCACCTTAACAATCAGCTTCCTCCCCTTGAGGCGCTACCCCAATTATGGCTGTGCCCCCCGTGCCACTGCTGCACACCACCGCAACCGCATGCCCCTCACTGCACTCCAATTCGTAACAAACCGAGGATCACGAAGTCCTTGATTTTGTAGGGTGTTTTTGAGAATTCTCAAAAACACCCTGCAAAATCCCAGATACCCCTCTGTTTCATCCAGCACAACTATCATACCTTCACGCTTGGCTTCTTGGCTTTAAGGTACTGCCCCACAACCATGCCAATGTCTCCCTCCCCACAACGCTCCCCACCACCGCGCCCGCATGCATACCCATGCCCTCATGCATACCCATTCCCTCATGCATACCCATGCCCTCATGCATACCCATGCCCTCATGCATACCCATGCCCTCATGTGTAGCAGACGACCTACTCAACCTGACGCTGGGCTTCTTGGCTTTAAGGTTCTGCCCCACGCCCATGGCCGCGCCGCTAGTGCCTGCACCGCACACCACCGCATCAACCCGCCCTCATGCCCCTTCCCTCGCACGCACCACTGCGTAGCAGGCGGCCTTCTCACCTTGACGCTGGGCTTCTTGGCTTTAAGGTACTGCCCCACGCCCATGGCTGTGCCCCCCGTGCCAATGCCGCACACCACCACATCCACAAGCCCCCCTGTGTCCTCCCAGATCTCCCGCCCCGTCGTCTCATAGTGAATCTGATTTCAGGGGCAAGGGTCAGTGGGAAGGGTCAGAAGTAAGGCGGACACTATGAGAGGTATGGCACACCACCACCGCCAGGGGGACATGGGAGGGGGACATGGGAGGGAGGGGGACATGGGAGGGGGGCACGAGCCCTTTCATCTTGAAGTGGATGTGCTTTAGAGCAGGCTCCACGCCTTGAAGGGGCTGTTTATAGCAGGCCCCACGTCGACATCCTAAAGGTGTGAGCTTGCTTGCTGGTGTCGACCGGCCCCACCACAAACAGTTTCTGGCATACAGACATCCCGAATAAAGTGCCAACCCATTTTGGCATGCTTGCTGCGTTAGACAAGACTTGACCCGTCAAAGATCAATTGGCAAAACGGTAGCAAAAACAAAGCACTGGCACAAAGGAACAACATATCGTAAAAGCATGTGAAATAATGGGCGTCGACCCAAGCCATATATGCTATAAAACCATCCCTTTTCCCCGCCGTCATTCGATTCAAGAATGTCCTTCATCACATAACCACCTTAGCCCATTTACACCTTGCGTAACCCACCTTGCCTCTTGCCCGCCCTGCTAGGCATTTGCCACGCACCTTGGTATTGGCCTCGTTTTCAAACTGCTGCGGCATGAAGGCATGCTTTGAGTTGCTCACAATCTCCTTGGCTTTAATGATGGCTCCCCGCATGCCCTGCGATCGAATTGAACAGGGTGTGAGAATGCCATAGAGGGAAACTGAAGGCTTTAAGGAAATTCTAACATTTGAGTTACTTCCTTGGCTCGGATGATGGCAACGATGTCAAGCAATGAGTGGCGAAAGAGTAGAGGGGGAAAGAGAATTGACACAGCCTGATAACAATCCCCGTGTCTTGGATAATGGCTCCCCTGGTGACCTGCCATCTCGCAGGGATGGAAATTTATGGCTCAAAGAAGAAATGTTTGGGTTTCACTAGGTCATCTTCAAATAGTCCGTTTACTTGTTCAGGGACGCGCACCTTGTCAAGGTGAGTGAGAACAATCAAATCAACGCCAGCTGAAGTCTCTGGGTCAAGGCAAGTCAGTCGAGACAATAGCTGCAAAACTACTAGATCAAGGCGATTCAAACACACCTCGATCTAGTCAAATTCGCCAGTCAATGCGTGCATTGATCGTGTGTTTCAATCACCTCGTCAAGTTCAAGAAGAGTCAGATTCGCCAGTCAAGGTGCGCCAGTCTCACCTCGTCGGGGTCCGTGAGAACGCGCTTGGCCCAAAAGCTCCAAGCAGCATGTGGCGCCGAAGGCCATGAGCAGCACGCGGGCCCAGAGTAAATGAATTTTTTTTGAGGCGCCTCAAAAAATGAACTTTGGGCCAACGCGCACCAATCTCACCTCGTCAGGGTCCGTGAGAACGAGCTCGCCCCTTGCGCATCACGCGGCGCTCGAGGCTAAGTCAATAGGCCATGGCGTCTCCAACTCATTCGAGTCGACCTCGCCTCCTCAGGGTTGGTCAAAACTACGAGCCGATCTCACCTCGTCAGGGTCGGTCAAAACGAGCTCGGCCCCAAAGGCCTTGAGCAGCACGCGGCGCTCGAGGCTCATGGAGGCGGGCATGGTGAGGACGAGCTTGTAGCCCCTCGCCGCTGCTATGAATGCCAACCCGATGCCCGTGTTGCCCGAGGTCGGCTCCACCAGCACGCTCTGGGAGGAGGGGCGAACAATGGGGGCATTCAACAATATTAAGGCCAACCCGATGCCCGTGTTGCCCGAGGTCGGCTCCACCAGCACGCTCGGGGAGAAAGAATGTGGAGAACAAATGGGAGCCGAGTTGCCCGAAGAGTGTACATTGTGGTTCCATGCCCGCGTTGCCCGAGGTCGGTTCCACCAGCATGCTCTGCGGGGGGTGAGGGGGGGGGGGGTGAGTGGGGCAAACATGGAGACACAGAACGATATACACGCTGACAAGACAGGTTGGCTCCACCAGCACGCTCTGGGGGGGAAGGAGAAGGGGGGGGAGTGGGGGGGAAGAAGGAGAAGGGGGAGGGGGGGGTGGAGGGGGGAGGGAGAGAGCACAGCACAGTGGTTAACTCGCTGGGGGACGGACAAGGGGGCCGCAGGTCAATAACAGCACAATGGGTACTTCTATTCGAATGCCCACGTTGCCCGAGGTCGGCTGCACCAGCACGCACTGGGGGGGACGGAATGAACTTGAAGAAGGCCTAAGTGGTGTTCTAGCACGCACTGGGGGGGACGGAATGAACTTGCAAGCGTGCCAGGAGGGAAGAGGGCGATGGGAAATACGATGAGTCTATTTTTGAGGCGCCTCAAGAATAGATGCTATGGGAAATGTCTGACGCTTTCTTTGAGGCGCCTCAAAATACGATGGTATGGGAAATGTCTCATGCCCATGCTGTTGCTGTTGCAATGCAACCTACAGAGAGCACCAGCTGTCACACGACATGGATCTCATTCATCTGCTCGTCCCGCCCCTTCACTTACCTTCTGTTACAAACACACGCACCTTGCCTGCCTTGATCAACCCTTCCTCCTCGCGTCTGCTGCTTTTGAGGCGCCTCAAAAGCACACCTTGCCTGGCTTGATCAACCCTTTCTCCCCCGCGTCTGCCCTCAAGCTGTACTCCACTCTACCCCCGGTGCTGCCACACGGCTCCATGCTCTTGCACACACCCCCTCTCCCCCCCTTCCACACACAAAACTCTTTCACACACACAGACACACACACGTTGCCTGGCTTGATCAACCCTTTCTCCTCCGATCAGGCTGTTCCCACGAGGACCTTAATGCCGCCAGTTTTGCTCATCTCTGTTTCCTCCCTCGCGCTCTTCCTTTCCCCCCCTTCTCTCTCCCACCTTGCCCGTTTTAATGAGCCCCTTCTCCTCTGCATCGCCGATCATGCTGTACCCCCCCCCCCACACGGCTCCATGCTCCTGCACGTGCATCCCCCCCCCACCCCCCCTCCTCTTCCGCTCTCCCCCCGCATTCTCACCTTGCCTGGCTTGATCAATCCCTTCTCCTCAGCGTCAGCGATCATGCTGTACCCCACTCGGTCCTTGATGCTCCCACACGGCTCCATGCTCTCGAGCTTGCACACGATGGTGCCCGCACACCCCTCCACCACTTTATTAAGATACACCAGGGGCGTGCGGCCGATGAGCTGAGGGTCGGTGGGGCAGGGTGTGGCGCATCCGGGCATGGGGAGGAGGAAGGAGGAAGGAGATGGGGCCATTTTTGAGTCGACTCAAACGTCACTTTGTGTGGCGCATTCGGGCATGGAGAGGAGGAAAGAGATGGGGCCATGAGCTTGCACGCTATGGTGTGGTGCCCGCACAGCACACCCCTCCACCACTTCATTCAGATTCACCAGGGGCGTGCGGCCGATCAGCTGAGGCGCACAGCGCCAAGGGGCCAAGGGATGAGGGGTCACGGGATGAGGGGTCACGGGATGAGGGGTCACGGAAGGGGGTCAAGCGGTGAATGGGTTATCAGCCGTGAGTGGATGGTGAAGCGGCGGACACACAGGAGCCAAACCACACAGCTGTACTTGATGTGTACAGATGTGTACAGGAGCCCACCACGCATCCACTCAGCCGAGCCAAGCAGATGTGGATGGGTACCCCACTCGCTCCTTATGCTCCCACACGGCTCCATGCTCTCCAGCTTGCACACCGTGGTGGCCCCAGCGCACCCGGGGCAAGTGAGAGGGTGGCCCCAGCGCACCCGCCCACCACTTACTTCAGGCGCACCAGGGGCAAGTGAGAGTTGGGGCATGCGCTAACGGGGCGTATAACGAGGGTGTACCTCGGAGTTTACCTCAGTGCGTACCTGAGTGACGTCATCATCAGCATTGTCGGTTTCCGGTCGTTCTGGCCCCTTATGGTGATGGTGATGGTGGTGGTGATGGTGTTGGTGGTGGTGATGGTGATGGTGATGGTGATGGTGATGGTGATGGTGATGGTAATGGTGATGGTGGTGGGTCAAGTGGGAGACGGCGGTTTTGAGTCCCGATATAAACTGCATTGTTTGCAGCTCCTGCTTCCTCACAGCCCCTTCATCGTTTACGCCTTACTATGCTTCAACAGCGCGCCACACACAGACACCAAACGTACTATTCTGTACCCCCCTGAGTGCTCACCAAGTGCGTACCTGCGTGACGTCATCAACAATGTCGGTTTCCGGTCGCTTTGGCCCCTTATGGTGGTGGTGATGATAATGGTGGTGGTGCGGATGCAAGTGGGAGAAGACGGTCTTGAGTCCCCATATAAACTGCATCGTTAACAGGCTCTGCTTCCCGTAGTCACTACAGGGGGACGGTCCCCCTCCCTTTCAGCAGCCGTTAACTGTACAAGTTGTCGACGAACTCCGTAAATTCTACTGCCTGAAGAAAACGAGGGGGTATTATCAAACTACGAGCGATGATCTCCACCTGCTTTCTTGCCCAAAGCTTCGGGCTATATGGCGACTCGACACCAGAGTTACGCTTTGCTGTACCCGAGTGATTGAGCTGGGTGATTGAATTGTCTCCAGATATCCTCGCTAAAGTCCTCCCTATACTACACACAAGCTGGCCAGGTAGAGCATTTGGCGCTCCGCTTTCAAAAGGATCTGAGCGAAGACGTCTTTTGATTGATTGATAGAACTCCAGAAAATTATACAGCTGAACTAGAGAACGCAAATCATGCCCGTTGATTGTGTTCAAGCGGAGAGAAAAGCGACACGTTGTTTCTTATGCGAGAGCAGGCGAGGACCCGTGCCTGCGCAGTGTGCGCTCGCCCAGAGCAGCGAGCGGCATTTGACTCTGATTCGCCATGCTGTGTTGATGCTTCGAATCTCCTTTGCTGATTCGCCATGCTGTGTTCCTCCACCAGCATAAGGGGGGGCGAGATTGGGCTCAATGTTACCCTCGCTCGGTCCGCGAGCTCAATGTGCGAACATCGCACGACAACCCGGGGGCTCGAGCCCGGCACTCGGGAAGTGTTACACTATGCCACTGCGAAAATATGAAAATCGCAACCAATTACAACGCACGACCAAAACATGCACAGTAAACCAGCGACTCAACGGGGAAACCAATGTTGCGCGATCTGGGGTCTGGTTTCTGCGTTTTGTGTTGTGTGGGGGCAAGGTTTTATTTTCGCTCACTGTAGGTTTCGCATGTAATTTTCATCATTCACTGTTCATTTTCGTCCAGTGCTCCACTAATGTTCTTATGGGTGCTGTTTACATTTGAGCAGGGCTCAATGTTGTTTCGACGTTTAAGGTGAAACTCCGGAATTTCACTGCAACATTGAGCCGCAGGCTCAGGATTTGGCTCCAATCGAGCCGAATCTTGCCCCCCTTGACTGACACGCTATGGGTGGTGTAAGGGTGGGAAAGAGCTTGGTAGGATGTGTTTTGCGACTGAACAGGTCTCGGAATAACCGCTTTTATACTCTGGCACTTGCCGAATGTAAATTACGGGTCGAGAAATGTCTAACTTTGAGCGCTGAAATTCCGTTCCAATGAAAACCACAAATTAGGGTGACCTATCAGCTGAACACGTTGAGCTGCCAATCTGACCAAAGGGAGCCTCGCTCAGGGTGCAGTGGATATGGACTCCGCGACAAGCAATGCAATGTGCGGGATACAGCATTTGCCATCCTGGCATCGCAAGTTCCGGACAACCTCGACAGGGAGGGCGCCGTTAGAAGTGCTTATGCCACGAATTCTGACGTGTACTGATGATTTCGATTTGATAGCCTATGGTCCAACAAAACTTGAAATACTATGTTTAGCCAATTCTCCTAGCTTTCCAGATACCTCAATATGTGAATACACTGGAAAATGTGTTTTTCTCACAAGGCACTGATGATGTTCGATATTGCACCCTTGTGATGCATAATACTACGTCATTTAGTTTAGTGAGATGCACCAATAATAAGCAAATACGAGGAGCAAAACGGCAAAGTGCGTTTTCCAATGCGAAGAATATCTTTCATTCCAGATCAGCCCGCGCAAAATATTATTGCTTGTGCCAGTGATGTGTCTGTTTTCCAGTGCTCAGAAGGTGGCCGGCCTTACATGATTGGAGACGGCACAATTGCCATGGATGTCGGTGTTCAGGCAGTCAGAGATGGGCCGGATTCCTGTGATGGGGGTGGATCTCATGATCTCACGGTTGTCGAGTCGAGTTGTAACTCAAATCTGTTCGACAATGTCGTGAACCAGACCCCACTGCTGGTCTCTGTCGTGAACCGAGTTTCGCTACCGTTCATCGCCAAACGAGAGGGGGGAGGGGGGGCGGGGGGTGTTTCTTCCTCTACGCGGAAAATGTGAGGCGCGCGCCAATTCGCTCCCTGTTGCATCCCCCCCCCACCCCCCTTCCCCCTTCCCTCCACACCAGGGGGAGTTCCCGAGGATGCCCCGCCCCCTTCCCCCTCCCTCCCGACCAGCAACCCAGCCATCTGCGGATCATTTCCCGCGCGAATGGGATGGTGCCTGGTTCTCCTACTGCTGCTGCTGATGATCCCAAGATCAGCCTTTCCTCATAAGAAAAGGGGTTTTTAGTTGTTCGGTTACTGTTACTTGCGATCCGCGCACAGTACTCACATTTATTGCACAGAGAGGAGGGTTTTGTCGCTTTCTGAGCAGCGAGGGGAGGTTTAGCGCTCATTTAGGTTAGTTTTTCTCTCATTGGTTCGCATTTCACGATTTCATTGGTTGCACACTGTACCTCAGCATTTCGCTGTTCTCAGCAACTGTTCCCGAAAATCTCCGTCAACTACAGTGCACGTCGCTGAACGAACCTGGAAACAGAGGGAGCCTCGGGTACCGTCAATTTCTGACGGCAAAATTAACAGCGACAGACAGATAAAACATGATGACAATACTCAATATGGGATTGCGGATTAGTGCGACGGAATTCTTCACTTACATTTCATTTCGACATTATAAAATAATATCTTTTGTACAGTTATATTATATCTTGGCTGAATCTTTTCAAGAGGGGTTCGCATATTAATGTTGGCTGGGACGTCAAGTATGGTCCTTTTTGTAAAGAATGTTGTAATGCAAATTCCTTTCGAAAATATTCGGCCACGTGTTAAAAAAACTTATTGAAAGATTTACATTGTTTACGAAGATCCTCGAATTCCATGGCAAAAAAAATCATGAGTTGAAAATAGTACAAAATGTTTATTACATAATATCGAAATGAAATGTAAGTGCACAATCCCGCCGCACTAATCCGAAATCCCATGTTGAGTATTGTCGTCATGTTTTATCCGTCTGAAAAATAAGTTTGCTGTTAATTTTGCCGTCAGAAATTGACGGTATCCGAGGCTCACTCTGTTTCCAGGTTCGTTCAGCGACGTGCACTGTAGTTGACGGAGATTTTCGGGAACAGTTGCTGAGAACAGCGAAATGCTGAGGTACAGTGTGCAACCAATGAAATTGTGAAATGCGAACCAATGAGAGAAAATCTAACCTAAATGAACGCTAAACCTCCCCTCGCTGCTCAGAAAGCGACAAAACCCTCCTCTCTGTGCAATAATAGTGACTACTGTGCGCGGATCGCAAGTAACAGTAACCGAACAACTAAAAACCCTAAGAAAAGCACCTATCAGTCAGGACCTGCGTCGTTCTCAAGGTTCATACAGAGACCACTTCTCCTCGGAGGAATTTCTCAGCTCCGAGTTTTTCCGTAGCTAATTTCCCTCCAGTTTCTAGCCATGGCTGCCGTCTCCGTCGCTGCTTCGACCATCAAGGCTCCAGCTTGCTTTTGCGCGTCTGAGCTTCGGACCTCGTTTTTTAAGCCAGTTGTGTCGTTCGTTCAAGCTAGGAAGCCCGCTCGCTCGCTCTCAGCCAAGGCGAGACGTTGCGAAGCGTCCTTGGATAGGAAGCACAATGTTTCGGCGAAGGCTCAAGCCGTGGAAGCTGATACAGTTACGGCGACGAACATCGCTTCAGATGTGACTCAGGTGGGTAGAATGTCGTAAGCATAATCAAGATCGGATATACTTTTGCTTGTTTAGAATATTGCTGCTCTACTGAAAGCAGTATCCTCGCTTAGTTGTCAATTTCTCGTAGTTTTCTCCTATCCGTGATTCAAATGGCAAGTTTTCTCCCACGCGGTAGTTATACAGCATAACATGCAGGGATTCGATAAAAATGTCAGGAATCTCGTTGCGTTCTCCTCGTGCAGCTCAGCACCCCCATGGTGTATCGGAACAAGGTCGTCACGGCTTGTAACCCACCTGCAACCCACTTGTACCCTGGTGTCTTGTCTTTTCCCCTCTCAATCTCCACCTCCCCCCCCCTCCCCCCCTCCAGCTCATCGGCAGCACGCCCATGGTGTACCTCAACAAGGTCGTCGACGGCTGCGTCGCCAACATTGCAGCGAAGCTCGAGATCATGGAGCCATGCTGCAGCGTCAAGGACAGGTCAGCCCGGCTATAGAGTCAAGGGCATGTGCGTGGTTATGAGGCTCAGCAAACGCTGTCGTCTGAGTTCGAGATCATGGAGCTGGAGCGTCAAGGGCATGTCAAAATATGACTTGTGGATTTGTCGTTGTGCGACCAAGAATTCTCGCCTAATTTTCTCGCGATGTGATCTAACCCAGGGCATGAAGAGCTCATACGACTGGTCTCATGTCGCGTACCCGTTTTGATTGCCATTGTGACTTTTGAGTCGACTCAAAGGTCAACCCAGGGCGGGACGAGCACGTACGACTGGTCTCATGTCGCGCACCCGTTTTGATTGCCACTACCTTTGCATGTTCTTGCATGTCTCAACAGAATTGCGTACAGCATGATCAACGACGCGGAGGAACGAGGCCTCATCGAGGCTGGCAAGGTGAGGAGTATATTCTTGAGGAGCCTATTTTGGGGCGCCTCAAAATGGGGGTCTATTCCTGAGGCGCCTTAGAATTAGACTCCCCCTGCGTACAGCATGATCGACGACGCGGAGGAACGAGGCCTCATCGAGCCTGGCAAGGTGAGCTTTCAGCCTTAACATGATCATTCATAAACCTGGTTCATAAACCTGATGATCCTAAATCACGACTCTCACGCCGTCTCGGGATTTTGAGGTAGCGGTGTTTTAATTACACAATTTATCACCTGAACCTGTTCCCCTTACTCCTTCCCCCTCTTTTCCGCCGGACATGCATTCCCCCCCCTCTCCCCCTCCAATCCCCCCCAGAGCGTGCTGGTGGAGCCGACCTCGGGCAACACGGGCATCGGGTTGGCGTTCATTGCAGCGGCGAGGGGCTACAAGCTCGTCCTCACCATGCCCGCCTCCATGAGCCTCGAGCGCCGCGTGCTGCTGCAGGCGTTCGGCGCCGAGCTCGTTCTCACCGACCCCGCCAAGGGCATGAAGGGCGCTGTGGCTAAGGCGGAGGAGATTGTGGGGAAGACGGAAGGCGCGTACATGCTGCAGCAGTTCGAGAACCCCGCGAATCCCAAGGTATGTCGAGCTTATAGAGGGGATGTAGTTTAGAGAACGTTCTCACGGACCCCGCCAAGGGCATGAAGGACGCCGTGGCTAAGGCGGAGGAGATCGTGGGAAAGACTGAGGCCGCGTACATGCTGCAGCAATTCGAGAACCCCGCGGATCCCAAGGTACGATCGTCCAAGGTCCAATTTCCCACAAAAACGGAACCCTACGTTGGAAGATTGCAAGTCGACACACCCCCCCACATCCCCTTCTTATCCCACATCCCCTTCTTATCCCACATCCCCTTCTTATCCCACATCCCCTTCTTATCCCACATCCCCTTCTTATCCCACATCCCCTTCTTCCTCACCCCCTTCCTCCACAGTCTCACTTCCCCCACACCCTCTCTCCCCCCACAGGACTCGTGACTCGGTTGCAGGTCCACTTTGGGGTTACAGGTCCTGAGATCAGGGAGGACACCCGAGGCACAGTGGTCTTTCTCTTCTCTGGCATCGCACCTCTTCGCACCTGTTCCTCACCCCCTCCTTTCTCTGTTTCGCGGTGCTCTGGGTGCAGTTTGAGACAACCGGGCCTGAGATCTGGGAGGTTACCCGCTCCCTCTTCCCCTTAATGCCTCAACCCCTCAACTTCCCACGCTTGGAACTTGCTATCTCCCTCTCCTTCCACTATTTCCCGTTGCTGCAGGTCCACTTTGAAACGACCGGCCCTGAGATCTGGGAGGACACCCGGGGCACGGTGGACTTCCTTATCTCGGGCATCGGCACGGGCGGCACTGTCACTGGCACGGGGCGGTACCTGCGCAGCAAGAACCCCAATGTCAAGGTGGGACTCAGGGGAAGTGAAGGAGGGAGAGGGTAGACGGATGGTTGAGTGGCACGGCGTGCATTCTCACCTCAGGCATCAACACCGGCGGCTGCCTAACAGGAAGTGGGCGGTACCTGCGCAGCAAAAGCCCCGACCTCAAGTGGGGTCTGGTTATGGATGTGAAGATGAAACATAGTACGATGACATGCCAAGTAACCGCTTACTGGTTTCAGGCAAATGGCTGTCATTTTCCCACAGTGCTAGCTCTCACCCTCTCCTCCTCTTCCCCTCCTCCCTTGCTTCCCGCCATCTACCCTGCAGCTGACTGGAGTGGAGCCCAAGGGGAGCCCTATCCTCTCAGGTGGAACGCCCTTGCTTTCCTTGCAATGCCGACTCTCAGCATCTGCTCCCTTGCTCCCCTTCCCCATCCCTCTCTGGCACCCCGCATCTCCCCTGCAGCTCATTGGCGTGGAGCCCAAGGAGAGCCCTGTTCTCTCAGGTGGAAAGCCAGGTGAGTTCTTATGTGGCTTTTGCTGGCTGTGGCAATGCTCTTCAACTGGGCATAGCGTCTGAGGTTGACAGCCAGGCGGAACCGGTCCTTGCGTGTTCTGGCAAGCCTGGGGAGTCAAAGGCGTGTCCTCCAGGCCCGTTTGCGTGTTTGGCTTCTTCCTGAGCAGAGATCTTGTCCTACAGCCAGTTGCTCGGGATCCTGAAGCGAGTCCAGTGGACCCATATTTCTCTGGGTTAAGCATGAACGCTTATACAAGCCTTCATCAGCATTTGGCTTCTTCCTCAGCAGAGATCTTGTCCTTCAGCTGGTTGCTGATCCTGAAGCCCTTTGAGTCGACTCAAAGCTCATTAGGGTCCTTCCTGAGCAGAGATCTTGTCCGTTAACCGGTTATGGATCCTGAATCCTTTTGAGTCGACTCAAATGGCATCTTTTGAGTCGACTCAAATGGCATCTTTTGAGTCGACTCAAATGTCATCTTTTGAGTCGACTCAAAGCTCATTCAGCCCCTCCCTGAGCAGAGTTCTTGTCCGTCAGCCAGTTCCTGATCCTGAAGCTTGTATTTTCTGTCCCATAAGGTGTCCCTACTTTCTCGTTGCTCCCCGCCCTGCAGGGCCCCACAAGATCCAGGGCATTGGGGCTGGCTTTATCCCGGGGGTGCTTGACGTTAGCATTCTGGACGAGGTCATTCAGGTGAGATGGGAGAGACGCTCAGGTGAGACGGGAGAGACGCTCAGGTGAGACGGGAGAGACGCTCAGGTGAGACGGGAGAGACGCTCAGGTGAGTCGGGAGAGACACTCAGGTGAGACGGGAGAGACGCTCAGGTGAGACGGGAGAGACGCTCAGGTTAGACGGGAGAGACACTCAGGTGAGACGGGAGGGACGGTCAGGTGAGACGGGAGAGACGCTCAGGAGAGACGGGAGAGACGCTCATGTGAGACTGGAGAGACACTCAGGTGAGACTGGAGGGATGCTCAGGTGAGACGGGAGAGACGCTCAGGTGAGACGGGAGAGACGCTCAGGTGAGACGGGAGAGACGCTCAGGTTAGACGGGAGAGACACTCAGGTGAGACGGGAGGGACGGTCAGGTGAGACGGGAGAGACGCTCAGGAGAGACGGGAGAGACGCTCATGTGAGACTGGAGAGACACTCAGGTGAGACTGGAGGGATGCTCAGGTGAGACGGGAGAGACGCTCAGGTGAGACGGGAGAGACGCTCAGGTGAGACGGGAGAGACGCACAGGTGAACTTGGTGTTCAGGTGGGTGAGGCAGACAAGGTGCGCGTAGGTGGAATAACATAGGTTGTTCAGGTGAAATGACTGGTCGCCTGAGTCAATTCAACCCACTTTCTCCTGCACCCCTTCTGGTCAACTTCAACCCCACAATCCCCCTACCTTACCGCGTAGTGTTCTCTTCCTGCACTTGTTTGTTCACACCTCAGAACCATTGAACACTTCGTTCACCCCTCGTAACTTGGCGAACCCTTCAACCCTGCACCCCTTGTGAACCCCTCAGACTCACGCCGTACTTCCTGCACCCCTGAGTATCGCCCTTCTTGCAAACCCTTCACCCCTGGGTATTGCCCTTCTTGCAACCCTTCACCCGTGGGTATTGCCCTTCCCTCGTGCAGGTCAGCAGCGACGACTCGGTTGAGATGGCCAAGCAACTCGCTGTAAAGGAAGGGCTCCTGGTACGTGCATGATCAAAGCTAGCTCAAATGCTTAGAGCGGATTGGTTTGTGAAGGCGTCAATGTGGCCCTTTCACTTGTTTGAGCGTTTCTATTGTCGTTCGCCTTACCTGGTAATGTCGAGTGTGGTTTGGGTAGGCACTTCCACCATGGTACGTGCTGACTCAAATTTGTTCCCTTGCATGTTGTTCCTTGCATGGTGCAGACGGGCATATCCTCTGGTGCTGCGGTGGTGGCAGCCATTGAAGTTGCCAAAAGGCCCGAGAATGCTGGCAAGCTAGTGGTGGTGAGTATTGGTGGCGATGAGGATGCTTGGAAATCTGACCTAGTCTCGTTTGACAGATATTTCCCTAGTTTTAGCCTCGAACTCACGTCGTCTGCACGATCTCGAAACAACCTTTTGCTCGCATGTATGTGCGTGTCCTGTGTCCGTGTGTGCCCCCTTCTCCTCTTCTTCCCTTCTTCTCAGGTGGTTCTGCCCAGCTTTGGGGAGCGATACCTGTCGTCAGTGCTCTTCTCTGACATTAGATCCAAGGCCGAGGCAATGACCCCTGAGGTGTAGATTGACCGCTCCAGACGCATTGATGTAGCAAGCGGCACATGAATCTATGCGCTGTGCAATGTAGAGGAATCTAAACGATTTAGAGAGGTGTTGTATTCGGGGGACACCTCGCCTGGTCCTTACAAAAGGTGGAGGTACATGCTTCAATTCAACATCGAGGGGGGGGGAGGGGGGAAAGCCTGTAATGGTAAGAACTTTAGTTTACCCTCCTTCCTTGGCGGCATACGAAGTACTCTGAATTTCTGAGCTGGCTTGGCTGGCCCCCGGCATTTTACGCAGTCTTGGCTGGCCCAGCTTGGTTCGCCCAGACTCCGAGCCTACAGAACTTTGGGCACCATGCCCCAAAATCTGACAGGTGCCCCAACTTCCAAGTCAAAGTGGAGGTTCGGGGGTTCCATCCTGAGGTGTTCGTAACGCGGCTTGGCACCGCACGGCGACGTCGTCGACAATACCGCAATGAACCGTTCCGTTATTCAGCAGACCAACCAGCATCCAGTCATCACTACTACAGTAGAATGAATATGTGAAATTCGGGACCTCCGCTCGCTGCAGCGCGATGCAGTGCGGTAAAAGGTCGTGTTCCGACGGTCGTAAAGGGTCTCTCAGCTTCAGCCCTCACTCGCATCAGCATCTGTCGTCGGGCATCGGAGTTTCCGCCAGGTCTTGTGGTCTCTGAAGAAGGGCTCTGTCGTCGGCCATGGCCACCCAGGTCTTTCTGTCTGCGAAGTCATTGACAAAGAGTTTCTCACCACGCTCCCATTCGGCCAAGTCTTTCTGGCCCTGACGTTTCTTGGACGCGGCGACTTGCTGGCAGAAGAGAGACCGCCATCGAATACTTTAACAAAATTCTGGGACCGCCATCTCCTTTTAGCGTGCTTCTTCCTTTTCAATGGCACACTAGCCACTACCAGCTGAGCTTAGTCTTCTAACACCAAGTCAGTTGGGCCTTGATATTCCTACTCCAGAGCTCGCATCCCAGTTCACGGGAAACACGGCGGTAGGAGCTCAGATGGCTGCGGCGGTTTTGCACGTTTCGTCACCAGGAAGCGGTACGCCGCGACAATCATGTGAGGAACGGCAATCGTGTGAGGGCGACGAATCGCCGGCGTCCACGGGCGAGCAATCGCCGGCGACCACGGGCGAGGCGACCACGGGCGAGGAATCTCCGGTGACCGCTACTCCAGCTTCCCATGCTCAAGCCCTCCCCAGCGACTGGCGTGCCCGGATTCAAGCTTCCGACGCTTCAAGCTTCACAGGGTCCGAGGGGGAGCGACTACCCGCTCGGGCCGTTCCCGGCGACTGTCTTGCCAGAATCCAAGCTTCCGACGCTTCCAGCTTCACAGGTTCCGAGGGGGAGCGACTACCCGCTCAAGCTCTCCCCAGCGACTGTCTTGCGAGCATTTTCAGCCATCTAACGGACGTTAGAGACGTGGCACGAGCGGGCGCCACGTGTCGCTCCTGGTGGCGCTGCTACAGCGACGTCGTTCGCAAGTCAGTGAGCTGCCTGAGTCTGGCGCCGAACCCGCTCTCGCTGGAGTGGGAGCCGTTGTACAGCCGGCCGTTGTTCCCGCCGCCGCCACTTGTCAACCAGCCGTTGTTTCGGGATTCTTTGGTCAGGCAGCCGTTGCTACGGCAGCTGTGCCTCCAGAATGTTCGTCCAGATTCAACGAATCAGCTGCTGAATCTGACCGGTCTTACGGCACAGGGCGAATCCGCCGGTTTGTTTATGGATGATGGTCAAGGATCCGCCGGTTCCTCTATAAATGGTCGAGACTTGCGCTGCTGCTTGGAGGATCTTCAAAGGTCCCCTTCGCTGCGACCAAGAGTCGATGAAGCCATGGCCGCTTATATCGGAGCATCAGCAACGCTCCCTTTACTCTCGGGCGAAAGCTGCTTGAATTCCCGAACATCACGCTCCTTGGCTCTATCCTCGTTACAAGACGTTCTTCGTCTCGACACCCCTCCGAGTACCATATCTTGGCCGCTGCACCGCGTTGCCTCAATGCTGCGAAGCTTCCCACTGCTCGCATCCCTCCACCTCCCGTTTCTATCACATATCGGTGCTGGCTCCACCCAGGATGGCATTGAACCCGAGTGTCACTATATTGACGCCGTCTGCCGCCTGGTTGCGAGCTGCTGCCCGTCCCTCCGCCATTGTCACATCCAATTCGGCCGGCGACTTCAAGGCGGCAGAACGAGCCAACACCCGTTACTAGTCACAGGCACTAACTCCCGCTCCCAACCACGTACAGTCACTCCCTTCGTCAATCAAGAATTTGCAGATCCAAACGACATCCATTCAAGTCTGGCTGAGATCATCACAGATTCAGACAACAACCCCCACTCTAACCCTCCTTCAAACCCACATCTCGGCCTTGCTTGGCTTTTCCACAAGTGCCCAAGCCTCGTCTCCCTCCACCTCATCAGCTCCAGCGCCTCCCCCGCCTGTCTCGACCTCTCGCCGTCCCTCATCCCTCTCTTTTCGCGCCTCACTCGCCTCTCTCTCTCCCTGAAAACCATCCCTCCCTCGCTCCTTCCCTCCCTCACCGCACTCAACTCCCTCACCCTCCACGTGTCCGACCCTGCCTGCCCCGTCACCTGCTCCTCCGCCCCGTTCACTCGCCTCTCGTTATTGTCACACCTGGAGCTACGTCTCGGTCCTAATTGGGCGACAGCGTACCCAGTCCCCCGGCTCTTCCAGGACATGTTTTCCGGGCTGCAGGCGTCGCTCACCTCCCTCTCTCTCACCCTCCCGTTTGTAGCACACCTGCCAGTGTCACTCTGGGAGCTGACGTCTCTCCGCTCGCTCTGCATCATCAATCCGGCGTTTCATCCTGGCGTGCAGAGGCCTGAGTACATGTCCGGGGTTTCCGGCTTGCGGCATTTGACCTGTCTGCAGCTGCTGGGCCATACTGTGCCTGGGCTAGTCATGGGGGCTCTTGGGGGGATAATCAGGAGGAAAGGAACGTCGGGGACGACCAGGGAGAGCAGGTGCTCGGGAATCCTGTCCCGGGGCTAGTCCTGGGGGCACTAGGAGGGGGTGTTCAGGAGCAAGGGAGCGTTGGGGAGCAGCGGCAGCAGCAGCAGCAGCAGCAGCAGGGACGCGGCCAGGCGAGTGGATTGCAGCTGACTCAGCTTCGCATGTCTCGCGGCACGGTGGCAGTGCTGAAGGCAGAGCTCGTGATCCGCCAACCGGAAGCCCCACAAGGCACAGCAGCATTGCAAGGGGCGGAGGGTGACGGGGCGGGCGAGGGGGCGGGTGAGGGGGCGGGTGACGGGGTGGGTGCGGGGGCGGGTGAGGGGGCGGGTGAGGGGGTGGGGGAGGAGAGACTGATCGAGGAGCTGGAGGTGGATGGGGACCTGCTAGCAGCTGCGGCAAAGAGAGGAGCCTTCCTGCCCCATTCCCTCCGCGTCCTCTCTGTCACCCCATCGCCAGCTGTCGCTCCCTCCTTCCTCCCCCAAACCGTCCGCCTGGACGTTTCTTCCCTGGCGTCCATCAGCCTCCGGGTGCTGAAGATCTCTGGTGTTTACCTAAGCACGAGGGGTAATTCTGCGCTTGGGAGTGGCTGTGATGCATGTTTCTTCCCCAACCTGCTGCTGCTGGAGCTGAGAGGTGTGCAGACGTGGCATGGAAAAGGCCTGAAGAAACCCCTGGTGAAGCTGGCACGGCTGGCACGTTCTGCATCGCCCTTTAGCAATTTCCGCCACCAGCTGCTGCAGCACTGCCCCAATCTTCAGATCTTGCATATGGACTCTCTTCCCCACTCCTCCCCGCTTCCTGTGCTGCGGAGCCTTGGAGTGCTGGTCATTGGTTCGTATGCTGACTCTGGCGCATCCCTCGCTTCCCTCTCTCAGTTTGTGTCACTGCACACCCTTCGGTTCAATGGCATTCCCAGTGGTGTTAGTGGCGTGTTGGGTGGAACCATCTCCTGTCCCCCGAATCTACAGAGGCTGCAGATTTGTGCGCAAGGCATCACACATCTTCCCCGCTTCACATGGAAATTCACGACGATTACTCAGCTGGACCTAATCAATTTCTCCAAGCTGAAGACGTCTCCCGAAGACGTGTATTCTCGTTTTCCTTCTCTTCAATGTTTGAGAGTGGACGGTTTAAGGCGTTAGTTCTAAGAGGAGATACTTATGTGTTATGTGGTCATAATGTACGCTACCGATCAGCAGTCGTGGCTGTTGAATCGGTGCAACTAGGACGGGTATGCGCGCCTCTGAAGAGGAGGGAAGGTTCAAATTGTCTGCCACAGCCAAGCAACCACCAATGAACGATGTCAGGCGCCACGGGTCAGACATCACAAATTGGCGATTTGTCGCCCTGCTGGCAGCCTAGCACACAGTATACATTCTGCTCAGCTCACGGAAATGGAGGGAGCAGACTGAAAAGCACAGTTTCAGAATGTCGCACTGCATCGCATACGACTTTTCGACACAGGCCGACGTTTCCATGAATCTAGGGCGTATCCTTCAACACGATCACAGCAAGTGTAATATCCCGCCGACCAGTTACAGGCCGTGTACAGATGCTATGAAAGTCGTCTCCACATCTACAGATGACACATAGACAGTAATGAGGTGCCTTCAGCTATGGATTGACCCACTCAGATTTTCTTGGAATCATCTGACACAAATGGATGAGTCCTCCTCACTCCAAATTCTCATGGATTCGTGGTGATCCACCATGGAATGCCAGAATTGCCTCGCTCTTGTTCCTTCGGGATCATCAAAATCGGCCGACACCATTCATCAAAGCGCATTCCGAATCTCTGATTCAGGGATTGCCCTCGTTTCTGGAACACGGCTCTCCTGGGATCATCACCATCATGCTTGAGAGAGACCGTTTCTGGAACACGGCTCCCCTAGTCTGACTCGAGAGCATCATCCATCAGACACGGTCAGTGCAAGCGGGTTGTCGAGACTCATGACCAGAGAGTCGCCGAGAGGCACTCTGACAAGCCTCACAGAAGTTCATGCTTTCCACCAAGTTAGTAGAGGCTCACATCGTGTTGGGTTTCCTCGCAACGTGAGAGGACAGCCTAATGTTTCCCTAGGAGACACGTTAGGTGACTAGCCACAGGCTAGTCTAGGCTAGTCTAGCAAACGGTTCTCCTTATTCCGAGCATCACGCGAGGAAAAGGCTCGTGAGAGTGCTGCGTCGAGTGTTAACCGCTAGTGTAGGCGGAACGGTAACGTACGTGACGCGATGGACACCGTTATACTGAGCGAGCGGCAAATCGGAAAGGTGACGTCAGCAGCCGGAGTGAAGGATGTGAATGGGCATAAAAAGAATGAGGTTAGAGGTGATAAGAACGAGAGCAGAGAGGAGGAAGCAGAAAGGGAGGCGCGTTTCGAGCGGGAGCTAGAGGAGCTGATGAAAGCCCTGGAGGAGGTGGTGTTGACGAAAACGACTGGCGAAAACTCTGGCGACGAGTTACTGCGTAACGAAGGCGAATGCGACGACTTTCCGCCCATGCAAACCCCTCCACCAGCAGCAGCGACACAGGGAGCCAGCGGGACAAGGAAGCCGGGAGTTTCGGGAACCGGGAAGATCCGTAGAGATACCAAAAGCAACAGTCCAGCTAGTGTACTGGAGGGTGGAGCAAATTCGCCTTCGGAATCGCCTTCCGGTGAATGCGACGATTCTTGTCGCCGACCGTCGTATACTGCAGCAGCAGGTCAAGCGGCAGCGTCAGGAACTGCTAGTTCCGGAGGCCACGGGACGAAGACGTCCAGAAGAGCCTTGCAGCAGCCGTTACCCGAGTCGGAGCGTGTCGCCCGCGCGAAGCAGCGCGAAAAGGCGGTCGTTAAGAACCAATCGCTGGGCCACGCAGACGCGGGACGCGCCAGCTGGCACGCGTTCATTGGACGGAAGGATCCGGTGCCAGAAAGCGGAGCGGGAGGAGCCGCGTTTGCCGTGCCGTCCGGCGAAGAAGACGGCACTCAGGCCAGCAAGTTCCCTACGAACGGTGCGAAAGAGGGAGGCCCTCGCCCCGAAGGCTCTCCTGGCAGCGGTAGTCTGGATCATGATGGTCGTTCCCAAGGGCTCTTCGGGACGAAGATCTCGTTTGGATTGAAGAAATCGGTTCGGAGCGGTGTTGGTGTTGGTGCTGGTGGTGGTGGTGCTGCTCCCCGCCGGCATACCGCACTGTCGTCGCTGGAGATGCAGAAGCGAGTAACGGAGCAGCTCTTTGGCGGGGATGACGATGAGGGCTCGGAGCCGGAAGAGTCCTCTGGGTCCAACGATTTCTACCCGCCTGGTTACCATGGTTTCGCGCCCAGCATCCTGGGATCTCCTGCGAAGGGCAGAAGCCTCGTCAGCGGAAGCGGGGGCCTCGTCAGCAGCAGCAGAAGCTGCACCAGCAGCAGCGCCACCTCAGCGGCGGCAGCAGTAGCACAACGACCAGTAGCGCGATCAACGGCGAGAGCACCATTACTACCAGCTGCAGCAGCTGCTGTGGCGTCTTCAGCTGCCGCTGCATCTGCTGCAGCAGCAGAGGCGAGGCTAAGAGCCTTGGTCAGCAAGCAATCTCCTCAGAGCGGCGCCTCCACTGCTTGTCCAAATGCTGATGCTGCTGCCGTTGTTACATCTACAGTTACACCTGGTGTTACACCTGCAGGCGCCTCTTCAGCTGGCCGACTGGTGGACGAACAGAGAGTGGGGAGGAAGCAGAGAGTAGAGGGGCGGCAGGATAGGGCCCAGCAGCAGCAGACAGGCACATGGGATCAGGATGACGAAGTCTCGTCGAACCTTCAGAGCCCAGGAACCATGCGGGGAGCCACAGAGTCCCCCACATCTCCGCCACTAGGAAAAGCGACTCCCCCTACTTCTTCCGCTCCCCATATGTCTCCCCCTCTGCCTCCTCCAATGTCTCCCCTTCCCCATATGACGAGTACGGCCGCTACTCCACTTCCTCCGCTCCCCCCCGGCCCCCCGCCAGAGACCCCGCTTCCGCCGCCCCCTCCGCCTGCTTCTCCCCTCTCAGGCCATCGCGCCTATGGGGAAAGCGATTTCCGCCCATTCCCCCTGGAGAATGCTCCCCTTGGAGCTCCTCCGCAGGGCCCAGTTCCCCCCAGCGCAACTCCCCCCCTTCCGCCTGGGCCTCCGCCCATGACGCCTCCGCCACCTCCCCCAGGCGGAGTGCCTTTGGGGGAGCGATTCGCATCAGGCGGAAGCCAGAACGCACCTCCCCAGGTTCCGCCGCTTCCCCCTGGCCCCCCTCCTGCAACTCCCCCTCCCCCAGTTGCGCCTCCCCCAGGGTCACCCGCAGTGCACCCTCCCCCGGCATCTCTGTCCTCTCTCTGCGCCCCTCCCGTTCTACCCTCTCTCCCTGCTGCCACCTCCGCTGCTGCTACAACAACCAGCGGTGCATCCGGTTTCTACAGCCAGAGCAGCGTTTCCGGCTCTGACGCCGTCTGCTACAGCCAGAGCAGCGTTTCCGGGTCCAGTGGATTTACTACTCTGTGGAATGCGGGGTACTCGAGCGCTGGTGGAGATGACTGTACGGATAGTGCTAATAGCGGGAGTAGGAATGACGAGAGTGGGAGGCAGAGGAGTGCTGGGTACGAGGGGCGGGTTGACGCTTATTATGATGCTGCTGCAAGTGGGGAGGGAGGGCTGCAGGGGAAGCAGATGCAGCAGCAGTGGCAGCAGCAGGAGCAGCAGCAGCAGTATCATCAGACGTACCAGCCAGAAGGCCAGTATGAGAAATGGGACCAGAACGAGCAGAAGCAGCAGTGCTACCAGTACCAGCAAGGACGGGGGGAGCAGTACCAGCAACAGTACCATGAGCGCGACCAGCACTTGCAGCAGCTGAGCCAGCAGAACCAGTACCAGTACCAGCAGCAGCAACAGCACCAGCATGAGCACTATCATCATAACAGCCAGTTTCAGGCGGTTGAGGAACAGACGCAGGACGAGCACAGTAACTATGAGCAGAAGTGCGTTCAGTACGAGCAGAGTGAGGAATACAAGAAATGGCTGGCTTACCACCAGCAACGCCAGCAGCAGCAGCAGCAGCAACATGAGCAGCACGATTACTATCAACAAGAGCGGACCGAGGGCTATCAGAAATGGATGGCCTATCACCAGCAGCGGCAGGCATACCATCAGGAGCAGCAGCAGAAACCGTATCAGCAGGAGCAGCAACGGCAGCCATACCAACGGGAGCAATATCAGCAACAACAGGAACAGCAGCTGTACCAGCAGCAGTCGAACACACATGCAGCTCATGCTGTATCTGCAGTAACCCATCAAGATGTCACACATACGTGTTACAATCTACAGTACAACGTTTCAAGCAGGCTTCCTGTGGCTACCAGCATCCCGGCTCTTAGTGCACCTGCTGTAACACATCAGCATATTCATGCACCTTACACTGAACCCACAGCTACTCAGGCACCGTACACTATACCAACGGTTACAAGTGCCTCGCATGTGGTAACCACGTGGTACCTCGTTGTGGACACAAACGTGTTTCTGGACGTGGCTGAGGTGGCAGCGCTCTATAGGCTCATTGCATGGGGGCTCCGGAATACAGACAGAGGGGTCGGGCACACAGAAGCACCCAGTGCATGTCTTGCTGGTGGCACTGCTGCTTCGTCGATCCTTGGTGCTGCTGCTGCACCTGCTGCCACTGTTGCTGCCGCTGCTGCTGCAGTTGCGGCGTCCATCTCTGCTGCTGCGGCTGTGGGTGCGCCTGGGAGCATCTGGACCGGGTTGTTGGGGAGTGTGGCGGATAGCTTTCCCAGTAATGAGAGGGTGGTGGTGGTGCTGCCACAGGCAGGTGAGTGAGAGGGAAGGGTTAAGAAGGTATGAAGGTTTTGGTGGGTGTGAGTGGCATGCTGCTGGGGAGTGTGGCGGTCAGCTTTCCCAGCAATGAGAGGGTGGTGTTGGTTCTGCCGCAGGCAGGTGAGAGTCAACCCGAGTGTTGATGTCAGATGTTAAATGGGTGTTGCTGTGAGCATCTGGACTGGGTTGCTGAAGAGTGTGGCGGATAGCTTCTCCCATGCCTTCTCTCCTGCCGTCCTCCCGCCCTTCAGTCGTACGTGAGCTGGATGGGATAAAGGAGGACAAGGAGAGGGCCAGGGGTGTGTACGCCCGTCGAGCCCTCAGGCTGCTGAGGGACGCCTTGGCGAGCAAAGCCCCGTGGCTCAGAGCGCAAGGAGGCCATGAGAGGGCGGAAGTGAGTGGCAGCAGCAGCAGCCAGAAGCTATCTGCTGATGATGCTGTGCTGTCGTGCTGCCTCTACTACCATCAGTTTGTGGCTCCTGGCGCTGTGGTGCTGCTCACTGGAGACATTGCCCTGCAAGTCAAGGTAAGGAATCAAAGTAAGGCAGTTATAGTGTATGTACCTTCAACGTGGATTTTTGTATTCAAGTGTTATCTTTTTTCTCCCCTCACTTCACAGGCTCTTATGGAAGGAGTGTCTATGGTCCACAAAGCATCTGCCTTTGTTACTGAGCGTGTGGGTTCGGCACTAGCTGCTGCAAGATGATTCTGCGCAAGGATGGACTTTTCTAGACCCACCCTGCTGTCATGCTACCATGTTCATGGGTGATTCTTTCTCACAAAGGAATGCCATCACAAATTTACATTAAGCAGGAGATTTGTTGTAGTCTGTATTTATTCAGTTGCATATCTCCAATTCACTCCCATAGAGCCCGTCATTTCGGTGAAATGGGCTTGCACGAGAGGATAGTTTGTGTATTAGCAAGGAATCATAAGTATTAGCAATTGTGTAGAGTATCGGATGTGGTATGGTAGAGTGAGTTATGGTACACCTTGTGGTGTGGTGCACCCTATCGCGTGCGCTTGCAGCTTCATGTTCAAGCCTTTCCCCACATCTCCCACTAATCCTTCCACTTTCCAGGGTGACGATTTGGCCGAGTTTACTGGTCCCCTTACGCAGTACTCCTCTAGCAGTCTCAGAGCTTTGTCCTGTTTCGCTCCGTTCCTTTCCCCTCATCCCGCAGAGCAGGTTGACTCCTTTGCTTAGCGGTCTCTTCAATATAGCGTTTTTCAAGTTTCAGATTCGTTGGGGTTGTCTGGAAAATGGTGAAGCGACGGCGTGGAGGCGGATGGGGAGGACTAGAACGCGTCAGCTCTTTGAAAGAGGTATCACTTGTTTGATCGTATTTTCCCCTGGCTTTCGAGTGCGTTTTCTTGGAGTAACTTCGTTTTCTTTCAGAAGTTGCCACTTCCTCGCCAAGGGCCCGTACGAAACTTTATCTCGTCACGGAATGTGTCTGGAATCGTCAAGCCGTCGTACAATCTGGATAGCGCAAACAAGGCAGTCGAACAAGGCACCACCTTTCGATTTCAGAAGCGAAGCTTGGAGCAGCACACGCCACTGCGGATGTCTAAGCGAGCAGGTATGGCCTTTTTGTGATTCCATGCATTTCGCCTGCTGCTGCAAAGAAGACTTCTCCACCTCTTCTTCACCTCGTTGACTGTTGTGCAGATAAAACACGTGAGGGATGTCCTTCTTTACGAGACAAAGCCGAAATCAAACACAACGAATCTAGGTCAGAAGGCTGGTTGTTGATCATCTTCAGATTCAAGTACTAAAGTAATGTGCTGCAGGCTGCATTCCAGGGAAAGAAAAATTCAATGCATCACGCCTCGTAAGCGACCTTTCTTAATTCCTGTCTCCGCTTGCATCTGGTGTCACTGAAAATAGTTTGTGTGACATTACAGAAGCGATCATTACCTTGAAGAACTGCTATGCTCCTCCTGGCTCCAATTCTCGTGCTAACGACAAGCAGTGTAAGTTCCTTGCTGTTTTTCTTGCCGTTTTTTGTTTAACTTACAGGTTCTGATCTGACTAGATTTCATTCCGAAGGTTCCAAAGAAGAGGACGAGTGGGACTGGGCATTTGGCTGCGAGAAGCCGGAAGCACCTGCTACAAGTGATGCAGGAGATTTGGAGGAAAACGCAATATTGCTGGGTACGTTAAATTTTCAGAGGTGAGATTGCACATGCATTGAGTCAGAAGTGTGGAACGCTAAGTCTTGGCTGAATATTATCTTTGTTGTCAGGTCACGCTCGCGACTGGAAGTCGTTCTCGTTTTCTCCGGTCAAAGAGAACTTGAAGGCAATCGCCAAGAGAGTCATGGACTTGGACGCCATCTCAGCTCCAAATGGTGGAGGGTATGTCAGCGTCTTCCAGTCCATTGAGCCTTTGCTGTTTGTTTATAAATCCTGTTTTTGTTGCAGCAAAGTAGTAGCTGATAAACTTATGAGCAAGCTCGATATATCACCTTCTCCAGAACTCATTGCTATGCTTCCAACAGGCGGAAAGGTATGACTGTTCATGATCATTGTGCAGAGGAGTTTTCTCCAGAACATGACTGACAGGTTTGGCCGCAGGTCTGTGAGGAATTCAATCCACGCTTATTGGATGGACCATCGAGTCCAAGGATACCTATTGTGGAAATAGACATGGAGGAGTTTGGGGTCCATGACTGGCTATTTGGCTCCGGAGAAGCACAACGGGATGTCTCTGAAATCATGTTTGGCAATGTCAGAAGCATTTGCGACGCAGATGGCCCTAGTGGAGGTGATTCATTTCTTGGAGGGACAAGCTTGTTTGAGCGTGAAACTTCCATGTTTGCTGACGGTTCTGAAGCCATAGGCTCTTTTGACCCGGATTCGCTTCTGGAAGCATCGCTCGCTGGTAGCAGGCCTTCTACAGCAACAGCTCTTTCTCCGGAACCATTTCCCCCCGGGCCAGATTCAGTAGCCCCATTCTGGAATTGCAGCCCTTCAGCTACAGACATAACGATTGGTCTTCACGCATATGGCAGTCTATCTACAATCGGACTTTTTGGCGATGTCGCTGGAATGAATGGAAACCCTTTCGCAAGTGCTGACACGAATTGGAAGGGTGATAAAGCAGAGGCTGACGATATCATCTGGCAACAACAATTTAATCCCAGTCCCAGGCCCCAAGATAGTATGTTTGATGCACCATATTGTCAAAACATTAGTAGATCTAGAGCTTGTATAGACTGTATAGGGTCACCTCTTAGAGAGTACAACCCTTAGATATGTATGCTTGTACCCATGTTCTCTAGTCAATCAATTACTCAGTTCTAAGATGGTATCAGCAGTAGGTAGGTCCCACCGCCCGCCCATGCTTCCGCCCTAGGCCCTAGCCGCCCCCGCGCCCGTCCTAGCCGCGCCCGCGCACCCGTCCTAGCCGCTCCCGCGCCCGTCCTACCTGGCCCCTGCGCCCGTCCTCGCCGGCCCGGCGCCCGCCGCTACTGGCCCCCGCGCCCGTTCTGCCGACCCCTGCGCGCGCCCTGCCTGTCGATCTCCGGCCCCATGCTCACCTTCCCGCCGGACTGCCGCCGATTTGCGTGCGGCCCGCTCTTCGTGCCTGCTACTGCACTGCACCCTCCCCGGTACGGTTCTCCATCACCTTGCACTGCACTGCACCCCCCCTGCACCGCACAGCACCGCGCTGCACCGCGCTCCACCGCACTGTACCGCACTGCACCACACTGTATCGCCCTGCACTGCACTGTACCGCACTGCACCACACTGTATCGCCCTGCACTGCACTGTACTGCCCTGCGCTGTTCCTGATGGCGGCGGAGCTTCGCTTCGACGCTGAGGGCCAGCCTCTGGAGCTCGAGGCCTGGCTAGCCGACCTCCGCCGCCACCTCACTGGTCAGCGGCAGGATGGCCACCCGCTCTTGGCACATCTTGACGGTATGCTTCCCTGCCCAGACCCCCCTGCTGTAGTGCCCGCTGACCCCACACCTGCTGAGCGCGAGTCTACTGCGGCCGCTGCCCTCGCTTGCTCTGTCTGGCTTTCCCGTGACGCTGTCGCCCAGCTTGCCATTAGCAATGCCCTCCCCCCGTCTGAGCGTCCTCGCTTTAGGTCTATCACTACCGCCCAGGCTTTCTTAGATGCTGTTATCCGGCGCTATTCCGCCCCGCCTGCTGCCTCGGTGGGTCGCTTGATCCTACCGATGCTCTTTCCTGACCTTGCGGCTTTCCCCACTGTCGCTGACCTGGCTGCCCACCTGTGCACGATAGATGAGGCCTGGCGCGCTGCCTGCACTGACGCACAGCTTAGCGCCCACCAGCCGCCCCTTACCTCTACCCTCTACCTGCTTGCCACCCGCCTCCCTGACCGCCTTGCCGCTGCTCGTGACCGCTTCCTTAGCATTCACCCCGGTGACCTCACCCTCACAGACTTCGTAGACACCCTGACTGTTATTGAGACCTGCCACCGCTCTATCGCCCAGGCGAGCGGTACTGTGCCGGTCGCTATCTTTCAGGGTTGTGCCCCCGCTCAGTGCACCTTCTCCGATGGTTCTGCAGCTGTGGCTGAGACCGCCGCTGCAGCGCAGTTCCGTCCGGGGAAGGGCCGCCGCCCTAAGGCTGGGCGCGGCGGAGGAGGTGGGGGTGCCAGTGGAGGTGGTGGTGGAGTCGGGTCGTCTGGTGGTGGAGCGGACACAGGGACCCTGCCAGGTCTAGCTGAGCAGCCGCCCCAGTAGCCGCAGCTGCAGCAGCAGTCGCAGCAGCCGTAGCAGCCGCCGCAGACGAGGCAGGCGAGTGCCCTCCCGCCCGGGTGGCCAGGCGCTGGTGGTGGTCGTGCGCGTGGTGGTGTGCCAGGTGGCAGTTCGGGAGGCGTGTGCTGTCAGTACCAGATCCAGACCGGTCCTCGTCGCGGCTTCGTTTGCGGTAAGATCGGTCACACCACTGCCCGCTGTTTTCGTCGCCTGGACGACCTGTTTCGTCAGCGTTTCGGCCCGTCACCCGACCTCCCGAACTGGCACAGTTTGCTTAGTCGTAGGGTTCAGATTTTTTACATGGACACGGATGCCATTGTTTCTGCCGTGCATGTGATGTATGCTGATGACTCTAGTGTGCTCCCCTCTTATTACTCCTTGTCGCCTAGTATAGGTGTGCATAGCTTAGCCTCCCTTGCTGCGTCAGGCGTAGGAGCTTCTGCTTTGTTTAGCCTTGGTGCTTCCTCCGTCGCCCCGTCGCCAGACGCCACTGCTTCGCTTTCCTTCACCTTGGACTGTGGCGCTTCCCGGAGTTTCTTCCGCGACTCTACTACGTTGACGCCGCTTCCTGTTCCTGCTGCAGTTTCTCTTGCTGACCCCTCCAGCGGTCCCATAGTCGCTCGTAGTTCCACCACCCTTCCCTGTCCGGCGGTTCCTTCGGGCTCTCTCACAGGTCTGCATATCCCCTCGTTCTCCAGGAACCTAGTTGGTGTCGGCTGCCTCCAGGACCTTGGCGTCACCATTAGCTGCTCAGCGTGACTACGAGCTTCACTCCCTCGACTTTTCCCTCCTCCCCCGCCCCACCTTGCACGCCTTGTGTCGAGGGTCGGCTTCGCCGTGCCCCTCACTCCTCCTCGTTTCCCCCTACCGCCGCGCCGCTGCAGATCCTGCACATGGACGTCTGGGGCCCCGCCCCCGTCCATGGGCCGCGTCGAGAGCACTACTTCCTCGTGCTTGTCGACGACTTCACTCGCTACACCACAGTCTTTCCCCTGGAGCGCAAGGCCGACGTGCCTGACGCTCTCATCCCCTGGCTTGTCTCTGCCCGTGTCCACCGAGGTCTCCCTGTCCTGCGTCTTCACTCCGACCGTGGTGGCGAGTTTGCCTCAGGTGTCCTTGGTCGCTTCTGTCGTGCGGAGGGCATCACCCAGACGTTCACCCTGCCAGACTCCCCACAGCAAAATGGGGTCGCTGAGCGACGCATCGGTTTGGTCATGGAGGTGGCTCGCACCTCCATGATCCATGCAGGTGCACCCCATTTTCTGTGGCCGTTCGCCGTACGCTACGCTGCTCACCAGTTTAACCTGTGGCCGCACCCCCAGCGGCCGCAGGTTTCGCAGACCCTTCTTTGGATCTGGTCTACTGGTGACGCGTCTGCGTTCCACGTCTGGGGCTGCCTTGCTCACGTTCGTGCCTCTGGCACGGACAAGCTCACTGCCCGCACCCTTCCCTGCGTCTTCCTAGGTTTCCCCCTTGACGCGTCCGACTGGCACTTCTACCACCCGCCATCTCACCGGTTCTTTCACTCCCGCGACGTCACCTTTGACGAGTCCGTCTCCTTCTACCGTCGCTTCCCCCACCGCGGTCCTCCGGTTACTCCCCCCCCGTTCTTGGTCACTCCTTCCCCGGTGGTCCCTGCCCCCCCCCCTCCCCCTCCCCGTCCTGCCCCCTCTGGTGTGTCCCACGTCACCCCTCTCCCGTCAGTTGTCCCGGTCGAGGAGTCCTCTGACTCTGATGGGCCTGCGACGCAGTCCTCGCCGTCTGCCCCTCGCCCAGTTTTTCTCCCCCACAGCCTCTGCAGCCGCCGTCGCCCCTGCTGTCGCAGCCGTCGTCTCCGCCGCCGCCGCTGCCGCCGTCGTAGCAGCAGTTCGTCGACTCTGGGGGTGCCCGCGTTGGGTTGGGTGTTAGTTCTGGGGTTCCTGTTGTGGCCTGCCCTGGTGGCCCTGGGGGTGGTACTGGTGCTCGGGGAGTTTCGGGCTCTGGGGGTGTTCCTTTTGGGGGTGCCGGAGTGGAGTGTCCCGGAGGTAGCTGAGGAGCAGCTTGCGGTCCCGGTGTTGGTGTTGTGCCACTGCAACAGCAGTCCCCGCCGGTGTCAGCCCTTCGCCTGCTCGGCCTTCTGTCCCCTGACCCTGCTTCCATTCCTCTCCTGCCGTCTCCTCCTCTTCCTATCTACGGCCCTGTGTTCCCTCCGCCGGACTCGTCCCCGACTCGTCTTCCCCCTCGCTCCCCCCTTGTGTCCCCTCCTCTGTCTCCTGACCCAACGCCTCCGTCTCACGTCTGGTCCCGCCGTCCCCCCCGCGCTCGTCCTGTCCCCCCTGTCACGCGCTCTCACCCTATGTTGCTCCGTTCTCACGCGTCTCGTCCTCCCCTTCTGCCGTCGCCTCCTCCGTCCTCTCTTACCGTTGCGCCTCCTCCTCTGTCTGACTACCTTCGTGCCACTCGTCCTCTTGTTCCTTAGGTCCTTGCCTCTCTCGTTACCGACCCGTCCGTTCCGGTCTCGTGTCTTGACGCTCTTGTCGCTGCGGTCGCTGACTTCGCCTCTACCCGCCGCCTTGACTACGCTACCGCTCTGGTCTCTGACTCTGCCTGTCCTCTGTCTGTCGGGGGTGCTCCTGCCCTCAGCAGTGACGTCCTGGAGGACCGCCAGTTCGAGCTTGCTTTCCTGTCCGAGGCTGCTCCCCATCTCTGTTCCATGCTGCTAGTCCCTTAGGGTGACCCAGACACTTTCGACATCCCGACCACTCGCACTTACGCTGAGGCGACCTCTGGACCCTGGGCCTCTTAGTGGATAGCTGCCATGGAGCAGGAGATGGCATCTTGGAGATCCACCGGCACCTTCGTCGACGCAGTTCCCCCTCCTGGGGTGAACGTAGTCGATGGCCGCTGGCTCTTCAAGGTGAAGCGCCCTCCTGGAGAGCCGCCTGTGTTCAAGGCGCGCTACGTGGCTAGAGGCTTCAGTCAGCGTGAGGGGGTGGACTTCTTCCAGACCTTCGCTCCGACCCCGAAGATGACTACTCTTCGGGTTCTGTTACACCTAGCTGCTCAGCGTGACTACGAGCTTCACTCCCTCAACTTCTCCACTGCCTTCCTTCAGGGCAGCCTACATGAGCAGACTATATATATATCTACTCAGACTGGACTTGTGTCCTCTCCTAGTGGCTGGACTAGTAGTGCCGCCCTGGTCTTGTTCTTGGCTTGCCTTTACTCCTGTTGACTGGTCTTTAGACCCTTGTCTCAGTGGCTGGACTAGTAGTGCCGCCCTGAGCTGCTTGTTCAGGAACTGCCCCTATGCAGTCTAGGGGGTGTGTCAAAACATTAGTAGATCTAGAGCTTGTATAGACTGTATAGGGTCACCTCTTAGAGAGTACAACCCTTAGATATGTATGCTTGTACCCATATTCTCTAGTCAATCAATTACTCAGTTCTAAGACATATTTGATGTCGTAATGCATACCGAATGTGTGCCTAGGTTTGAGACAAGGTCATGTACATGTGCAGGTTTTTGTAATTTATGTATTGAGAAAGCTCGCTACTTGTAGTGCAAATGGCATC